TAAGGTATGAAATTGACTCAATACAAATTATTAAAATTCACTAACTATGCAAAAGTATTAGGTTTATTTACATGATCTTGAATTGTTTAGATAATGTAAATTCTCCATTTTCAAATTTAATTATATATGTCATATAATGTTAGTGATTTAATAAATGTTTCTACTCTTGAAATATATTTTAAAAATGAACTAATATATAGTTTATGCCAAACAAAGTTTGATGTACGTCACTAATGTCGTCATATTTATCAAGCATTGTGTCCAAATTTTAAAAATAAACACATAAAATAGATTAAGTTTAATACCTACAGAATTTAATTTAATATTAACCAGGGATGACAAAAAATGTTAAAAAGCAGAATTAAATCATAGAAGAAACATACATCTAACTTTGTTTTGCACAACCTATATTTTATGTTACATAAGTCGTATTGGTTTTGACAAATTTTGACAGAATAAACTGTCAAAATTTCACGCTCTTAGGCTTTTGTTATGAAACCCATAATGTAAATAACAAAATGTGTTATTGCGTATCTAGAAATTCTGAACCAATTGGAAAATTCTTCCCTAATGTCCCCGCGAAATTTAAATAGTGTGTAAATACAATGTAATTTATTATAATTAAATTAATATATCAATATATAACGTTCTGAGTTTTTTTACAGATTCCTGAATAGGCGAAGGCCATTACTGAAGAAGAATTACATAATCAAACATATTTTTAAATGTTATGTTAGTCAATAGATATCCTGATAAATATACAAATAGAACACTTATATCGTTGTAATTATAAATTAGATAAAAAAGGAAAGATTCATATAAGTAGTATTTTATCACAAAATAATAAATTTATTATTTACCCTTAATAGCTTAAATTTCCCGGGGCTATTATGGAAGCTTTCTGATTGGTTGCCACTGCGCATCCTCGTGATTACTATTGTTACAACTCATAAAGTACCTATACACTCCGCAAAATGATATCGATATCAAGAAAATTACGTTGTAAAAATTCATTTCCAATTAATTTATTAATAATCAATTAATTTATTAATGATATTGATTAAGCTCAATTTTATATAAAAATAAATTAATAAAAACCTGTTGGAAATTTTTTCTAGCAGTTTACATTACATTTGGCTCTAATTACAAATTAAATCTCATGCCTTAATCATAATCTTGATATAAATTCCCTCAGATTCAGATAACATCGCATTAAAATTAACCAGAAAATAAAAGTTTTCATGTTCTGTACACTGGTGCGTATAAACTGTAAAATATTGTAGAGGTGAATTTTTTTTTGACAATTAGGGGAAGCTTGCCTAAAATGGGATACGTGGGTAAAATGGGATAGTGCCACTCACAGATTAACTAAATATGGCAACATCCTGCCATGACGTCAGAATTGTGCGCATCGCTAGGGTAAAGGCTAACGACAATGAGAGAAATTCATTAGTACATCGGCTAATGAAGTTAATGGTTTTCATTTTTTTATGCCGGAATTGTAAATTTTTAATGTTATATCTTAAAACCTGAAAGCTAGCAATAGTAATATATCAATCGTTTCCAGTGATCTTTGTGTAGAGTATGGTCTTGGTTTTCATTGTTCTTCTAGCATTTGCTTAAAAAGTGACAACAAAAAATTTGAGGTTAGTTTAAATAATTTAAATCAAGTGTGGGTAAAATGGGAAATTAGTATTGTGGGTAAAATGGGGTATCCCGTTTTACCTAAATCAAATGAGCGTAGTTTATTTTATTCTATTTTTTTTAGATGCCACACGTTTACAAAAGAAAGACTCATCGGCAATCGTGGTCTGAGGAGTCAATGGCTAAAGCTTTAGAGGCATTAGGAAACGGCACTTGTGGGTATTTAAAAGCTGCAAAAAGGTATGGAGTGCCAAAATCTATTTTATAGAGGAGATTTAAGGAGAAGAACAAACATACCACTGGTTCTTCTAAATCGCTTGGGAGTAGAAAGGTTACATTTCCAATTGAATTGGAACAACAGTTAGTCGAGTATGTTTGGATTAACAATAAGAGGTCTAAGAAGCCTTGCTTATCAGCTAGCTATAAAAAATAATATTGTTCACTACTTTAATAACACAAAACAAATGGCTGGATGACATTGGCTTCGTTCTTTTTTAAAACGACATAATTTGTCAATTCGATTACCTGAAGCCAGTGCCGCCGAGAGCCAGATCGGGCCCCGGGACAATTTTATACAATATCACTCTTCTAAAAAAAGGTCTTTAAGCAAAAACTTCTCCTCTAAAAAAAACGTCGTCATCTAAAGCTGCCGGGCCCCCACTTGGGTCCGGGCTCCGGGAATCCCGGCTACCCCTGCCCCTCTCGACGGCCCTGCCTGAGGCTACCTCTGCTGCACGAGCTAGGGGTTTTAACAAAGAAGCAGTGTCATCATTTTTCAATATTCTTGAGCCTCTTCAAGAAAAAAATAACTTTCCTCCGGCCAGGGTCTTCAATGTGGATGAAACAGGCATAACGACGGTTCAGGGTCGTCCTTCAAAAGTTATTGCACTTCGAGGTCAGAAACAAGTGGGTAACCTGACGTCTGCCGAACGTGGGGAGCTGTCTACAGCCGTAATTTGCATGAGTACAAGTGAAATATTTGTCCCGCCTATATTAATAATTCCTAGAGTTCGTATGAAGCCACAGTTTCTTGAGGGTGTTCCTCCAGTTGCTAATAAATCTGGTTGGATGCAATTGGATCTATTTGATAAATGGTTTAATCATTTTCTCTCTCACATACAAGCATCAAGAAGTAATCCAGCATTACTTATTCTCGATGGTCATAAAACACATACGCAAAATATTTCTATCATAGATAAAGCAAGAGAAAATGGTGTCACAATTTTATGTCTCCCACCACACTGTAGTCATCGACTCCAGCCTTTGGACGTGTCATTTATGGCCCCTCTAATCATCTTTTATTCACAAGAAATGGAGATTTGGCTTAGAAATCACCCAGGGCAATGCATCACTGTAAACGAAGTTCCTTCTTTATTTGGCAGAGCATATCTTCGTGCTTCTACTCCGATAAATGCTATTAATGGATTTGAAAAAACTGGGCTGTACCCAGTAAACCGCACTGTATTTACCGAGAATATGTTCATTGCAACACTTCCAACAAACCACAAGAACAGGATGATGTCGTACCATCTTCTCCCTAATAGAGAATCTCTACCTAAACAAATAATGGCTCTTCCAAAGAAATGTTCCGAGGTTGCCAAAAGAAGTGCTTTACATGATATGCCATCCACGAGCAAAGGTATAACTTTGATAAGTTCTGAACAAATTGCTCCTATTATCCCAAAGTTCGTAAGCTTGATATTCGAAAAATTACAAATAGAAAAAAAGGAAAAGCTGCCATTCTTACGAGCACCCCTTATAAGGAAGAATTAAAAAACTCTTTAAAGGAAGGAAATAAAAAAGTTAATGTTAAGAAGATAGCTTGATGATGCGGAATGCTTTTACTGCAACAACAGGTATTCAAAAGATGGATGTGGCGAAGGATTGATACAATGTGTTAGTTGTAAAAATTGGACACATACAGGTATCATGTGCACATGATACCTGTGCAGGAGTCGAAGATAATGACGATTTCTTTGTTTGCGATTTATGTCGCAACTGACATTTCATAATTTGTTCTTTTTACATTACACAAATTACTTTTGATTTGCCTACTTTTTGTATTAAAACATTTTTCACCATTTTTAACATTAATTTTTTTATCTCATTTTACCTCAACCATAGTTCCCATTTTACCCGCACTATGCGAGCAAAATGGGAAATTAACACTATTTTTTTGTGTGCAAAATAATACCATTATTTTTAAATTTTCAATTATCAGCTTAAATTATAACATTCCAAACACGTCGTTTTTAATTATGTCAAAATATGAACCACTAAATATGAAAACTTTTGCTTTTATAATTTTTGAAACCTTAGGTATCCCATTTTAGGCAACCTTCCCCTATATTCCCAACCTCTTAGCTGACTGCAAAAGATGTACATCGTTTTTTACCCACTCTTTTTGTATTTAGGTGAGAGAAAGGGGAGTGAATAAGTTGTACTATGTCCCGGCAATGGGAGCGGTCATGTGACCCGTGAAATTCAAAGTAGTTGCACATAGATGGATTTTTTTATGTTCACTATGAAATATGCTTCCAGACGTCGACATAAATAAAAAATGCATTTATGTCGTCCGGTTTTACTACATCCGGTGTAGAGACTCTAGCGACATGACCCCAGATATTTACTTTTTTCAATGAAATTCGGGATATACATACGTCAAACGCGGTTTTTCTGAAAAATGAATTTTGCAACCTAGCGAAAAGTGGTCTTTTTTTAAATAGGTATAATTACTCTCAAAATATTTGTATGACTTTCAACTAAGAGTATTCTGCTTGAGGACATTTTTTATTTAGTAATTTTACAGCATTCAAGATAATTTAATCTATACTGAACTTTTTTTCTCTGAAACCAGGGACGAATAAATGGCTGAAACTATTGAATAAAAAATGCCCACCAGGCAATAATCTTAGTTGAGAGGCATACAAACATTTTGAGAGCCCTTAATCCCTTTTACACCTAGTTTAAAAAAGTGGCCACTTTTTGTCAGGTTGTAAAATCCGTTTCATACAAACCAAAAAAATAGAAAGAAATGTCCGCAAAGGCATTTTTTTATTTTCCTCGACGTCTGCAAGCAAACATTTCATTACGGGCAAAAAAATTAAAAATTCGCCCCCTTTTCAATCAACACAGTGGACAAAAAAAGCGACTTACCTCTTTTGGCAAGTAGGTACTAGCTAATTTTAAATGCAAGCTATAGTTTTTTGCGGAGTGTATTACGGATTATATAATTTTAAGAATTAGTTGATTGTAAAAATGTATTTTCAGCTAAATGGATTTGATACAGAGTCAATAAGAAAACATAATTATATCCGCAAGCGCATTCTGTCTATGGGATCAAGAACTAAGAAACCAACAATAAGGACTAAAAAAAAAACAAGGACTGAATTAATCCTGAACCGGTATCGGTACTTTCATACAAACAACGAAAAAAAAAATAGTTATGTACAAGTTTGTTTTTATCAACACTATTATCACTTTAACCTAACTGATCACTTTCACTGCTTTCAAGTTTCATCGCATGATTCGTGTCCATGAAACGTTGCATCACTACAGACGAGGGGGGAGGTACGACGTTTGGAAGGATAGTCTGTTGCCCATGCCCATGCATGTCCATATTATGCATTATTTGTGGGTGTTGGTTGATTATATTTTGTTGGTAAGATTGTCCGTTGGTCACGATGTCTATTTGTCCTTTTTCCTCGACGCGTTTCTTATTCTGTTTCCGTTCTTTCGCTCTCCGATTTTGGAACCAGATTTTAATTTGACGTTCCGAGAGACCGAGATTGGAGGCAAGTTCAGATTTTCGACGGATAGTGATATATTTGTTGTTGAATGTGAATTCTTTTTCAAGTTCTATTCGTTGATGGTCCGTGTATACAACCCTATATTTGTCTTTCGTTCTCGTTTTACCTGTAACAAAAAGAGAAGAATATATAATACTAATCATAAGAATGAATGGAATTTCGAGATTCCAAGAGTTGTATTTATTATAGCAGGGAACATAAATATAAAAAAAGTAGAATATGTATATTATGGTGGAGAATGTTGAAGATAAATTAGCAAAATTTGCCAGCAGTAGTCACAAGCAACGACGGCTCCATGCTCTAACATGGGAATATTGAGGTTATCCAGCTCCTAAATGACGCCAATCTAGTAAGATTTGTTCAGTGACAGCTAAAAGTACAGTATGGTTTAGTGTTAAACGTTAACGATAGTGTTACTAAATAATTAACTCTAGATAGGTTAGTTTAAAATGAAATTCCTTATAGATATAATTAATTAGATCATAATATTCATACAATCAAATCAAAAGCATTATTGTAGTTGTTTCCACATAGAGTATTGTATTTGAACCTTTGATGAAGATATTTATCTAGTTTTTAAGTCCGTTAGATTAAAGAAAAGTACAGACGCATCATAGGTAACAACGTGCGAATACACCAAATGTTGTCTCGTCTACCTATCTATGTCGCTAAGCAACGACCGGGCCAGTGGCTTGACGCAATGTCTCCCCAAGCATTCATATATTATCGAACATAGTTTGTGCAAAAAGAGTGGATATGAGGAAAAGTGTTAGCACGACGCTGTAGGCGGAGTCTTCAATCATCTAAGTTGTAAAGTATATTTTTTCTACGACCCTCTAACGAACGTCTATAAATATTAGAAACATTTTGGGATATTAAAATAAAATACCTCATTTTTAAAATAATTTATGACTTTTACTAATATATAAAATAAAATAAACTTGAAAAAATATATTCAATAAGATTTAAACCCCATAGCAAGTAATTCTCGGGCCTATCGGCAAATTTAACTTTTAATTTTCAATATTCATAATTAAATTGATTTTATATGGTTCTATTAAAATTTATGATTTTTTTGTAAATACAGGCGAATATCTTGTGAAATGCTATGATTTATCAATTCTTCACAAGAATTATATTTAATCTCAATAACTAAAAAATATTTGGACAATTAGTTTGACAGAAGTGTCACTTTTTAGAATTGTCGATAGTAGAACTGGCGCCTTTCAGCGTTCCTATCGGCGCTTGTAGGACCGGCGCACCGGGAAATCTACCCGTTTCTCGGTGGGCCCATCTTCCCCTGGGTTCTAATGATCCCGGAAACACATAAAAACCTAGAAAAACATGTAGAGACAAGTAGAATTATGTACAATTAAGTAAAATCATGTACAAGCATGTAAAGTCATGCAAAATCATGTAAAATCGTGTAAAATCATGTAAAATCGTGTAAAATCATGTAAAATAATGTAAAATCTTGTAAAAACGTGTAAATACATGTAAAACTATGTAAAAATATGAAAAACATAGAAAAATGTAAAACCATTAAAAAACATAGAAAAATGTAAAACCATTAAAAAACATAAAAAGACGTAAAAAACATGGAAATATATTGAAAAACTGCGGAAACACCGAGAAAATTACTTAATTTTTATTCCTATTATTTCCATTTAACATATATTAATTAAGGAAAGATTTAATCCAGAGTTTGAAAATGAAGATGAGCTAGAACTAGCTGATATATCTACTAAAAAATGAGGATGAAGAAAATACACTGATGATTACAAATGTCATAAAATGAAATGCTATTTGATTTTGAGGTTAAAACTATGAATTTTTATTATTATAACTTAAATATTTTCATTTATAAAAAAAATAATAGGTATTTAAGTAATAATTTTCTCTTTTTCCGGAAATTCACGAAAAACTAAGGGAAGAATTTCTTCACATAATATTGGTTATACCTTTTTTAACTAAAAATTTTAATCAAATGGAATGAATTAAAAAAAGTAATCTCCGTATCTCTTTTCTTTTTTCCGGGATATGCTATAATTAACAAATGGCAAACAACTAAAATTTTAAACTAGATGGCCAACGTAAAATTATGTAAGTCATAAATTTACAAAGGGTGGAAAGGTTTCATATTGGTAGCACATGACAATTTTAATATATTATTTTTAAATATTAAAATTTAAGTCTCACATTGGGAAACATGTATTTAAAGTAAACGTATTTGAGTAATACATCAAATTACAAAAATTCTACCATGAAAACCTCCCGTCATCCCTCACAAATGTTACTGAACAAATAGTTAAACATCCAAAGCCACTTCTTCCATTTATTCCCAAACTGTCACTCGGCCCATTCAAAATTAATAAGCATACAGTCGTCGACTTTTGTTGCCACAACATCGGCTATCACTTTCATCTTTAGAAAGATGTCAGACTCGTGTCGAAAGCTCGTTCCATTCATTTTGGTTTCGACGACCCATGTTACGCTTGTGTTGACAGGCATGTCCAAATAGTAGCGAATGGATATTGAGGATAATCGTATCGGAACCACCCACAGAGAACCATTTTTTTGTTGTTCTTAATTCGACAGAAGCGAAAAACATGTGTTGCATACCACTTTAAGTCATTTTGTAAATAAGGACAATGGATATATTTTAAATTCTGAATTCCAGTACGTAGGTAAACGAAGATACAGTCAACTTTAATACAATAAACATAAGAAATTTGTGGCAAATTTATCCAAAGTTGCAAAGCGGTTTCGACCTTAAGCCATCATCAGTGCTTACGTAAAATAAATTGTGAACAAAAATGTATAAAAACTATTGAAAAAAGAATTTTTTAACAAAATAAAAAAATTAAAATGAATTAGAGAGACTACTACTTATATGACAAAATTTATCAAACTAGCATCCTTAAAATTCGAAATTGGGAATACCCGAAGCTAAGCTTATCAGGGAGATGGATTAATAACGCAATCAACAATGTTCGTTAATCAAAGTGACAAATATAAATAATAATTATTAATAAATACATGTGTTAAAAAAACATTTTAATTTGGTAAAAAAAATCAGAAAATTGAGATTCCTACATAGTGTCAACATCAACCGGTTAAATTTGGTCGTCATCGTATCGAATATTATGCAAATTACAATGTATTTAGTTTTTTACATTTAGGTATAGTCATTTTAAGTTTTACATAATTAAAAATTATTTAATTTTATTTATAACCCGAGGCCACGGTGCCCACGCTGGGTCAAGAAAGTGAACTAACTATTAACTACCATTTAAAAACAAAAGAAAACATGGCAAAAATCGATCATGGTTCAGAGTAAAAATCCACTAGGTTCGCTAGTGTATTTCCGGCAACAATGTTACCAACTTATGAACTGTCATGAAATGAGGCTTATAATTTATTCATCAAAGATGTACCATTGCTTTGCAAAGTCATATTTTAAGTCATTCTCTTCACTGCATAAGTCACTTTTGCATTGTATTGGCGAATTCGGGTAAAATCGGTTATTCTGTAAGTTTTTAATAGGGATTACCACCGTTTGATCCTGGCAACACTAGGTTTGTTCCAACACAATAGCAAATCGGTTTCCGTACTGTCGGGATTCTGCGCAGTCTAGATTTGATGTTCCAACAAACTTCGGACTCAAAACTGTACAAAAACCTAGTGTTCCAACACACCCAAACCTAATCACAAACCAGTTTCTGTACTGTCAAATCAGTTCCTGGGTGTGAATATGAACGAATTGTCAAGATATGCGCAAAACGAAAGTGAGCTCGTAAATAAACCACCACCAACTCTAAAAATCGAATAATCAAAATTTATAAATCTTTTCATGAGTTTTATAATTTTTTTACTTCCCAAATTCAAAATTTTACATTTGTTAAATTTGGTTTTACTTTTACGTTATTAACAGAGTGTGTTTGACAACACAAAAATGTGTTCCAACACATCCAAGTTTCGAATCGCGTCCCAATCCTCGACAGGTCGTGGACAGGTCGTCGACTATCAGTCGTCGACAATAAGTTGTGGACTGGTTTATGTATGGTCCCAAAATTGTTGTTGGAACAAACCTACTGGTACACTGTTCGGCAAAAAAATGACGGCTTATTTTATATTGTCAGAAGTAAAATCGTGCAAATTAGTTTATTTTAGCTTTTACCAGCCACTATCATCCTCCGTGGCCGACATTGAAAGTGACAAGTGTCAGCTATTGACAAGACGTTCACAGCCTTACTTCTTTTGGTTATCATTTTAATTAGGCATTCCAAATAAAAGTTCTATCGATAGGAAGAGTTGGTATATCTAAAAGGTTCGACGTACGATGTATTTTATCTACAATACGTGAAATCACGAATAATGGATTAAATTGTATGTAAAAAATAAAATGTCAAGGAGATGAGTTTAACTTTTGTCATTTACTGTCACGTAATATCACGTAATGAAGGGTTACCCAAAAAGGTACGAAGGTATGTAGTACATCCTAAGTCACTACAAGAGAAATCATTGAAAGTGGTGATATTTGATGTGCGGCTTATTAACATTATATATTATTTTTTCTATTTCCATTTTTATTCATCAATATCGTAGGTAGGCATGTCTTTTATATGAAACACCTTTCTAAAACTCATCAATTATGCATTCAGTGCTTAGAGTAGAGATTGGATATTTTGTGCCGTTGACCTAATGTTCAAATCCCAATAGGACGTGAGTTTTTTTTAATTAAAAATGAATTAAAATAAAGAAGTATTATCGGAGAAGTCTATTTTATTCGTTATTTATATAATTTATAAGAGAGTTTGCATTATAGAGACAATCGGTATTCATTGGTTCAATCGATACACATTTTAAATAGTTAAATAAAATATGATGAAATGTAGTAATTTCTATGAAGTCGTGTACAGTTTAAATTTTAATATTTAGTAGATATTAACTATTTGAAAATGTCAATGCAAAATTAGATAAAAATTTGAGCAATCAATTATCAGAAAATCTCTGAAGATTAGGAATGTTTTTCCAAATATAAAGATTCTGCTGTATAAGCATACTAAAATAAATTGGCTTTCAGCTAATGAGTCACAAAACTTA